CTGGCAGGTTTGAACCCAGCTGGGCCTGCCAAACAACAATGACAACTACAACCAAAAACAAATAGCCAGGCATTGTGGCAGCGCCTGTAGTTGTAGCTACTTGGGAGGCTGAGGCAAAAGAATCGCTTAAGCCTAAGAGTTCCAAGTTGACAGCTGTGATGTCACAGCACTCTACTGAGGGCAACATATTGAGACTCTGTCTCAAAAAAAAAAAAAAAAATGGAATCTGCCAAGTGCAATAAAGCAAATGCAATAAAAGGAAGCTGACACATGGAACAAAGAAAAGGGAAAATGGTTAGCAGAAGAAAAGAGATAGGGGAAGAAAAATAAAGGAGATAACAAGGTCAAAGGGAAGGTGGACAAAGTCACATAGGAAAGTCAAATGAAGATTCCAGGACAGGCTGCTGGAGAAGCTGAAATGTTGACAGTAAAAGCAGGAGTTCACGTGGAAGACAGGAGTTTGAGGCCCACTGTTCATTTATCATTCTCCTTCTCAGCGGAGTCATAGCCCTTCATACAATTGCTACTCCCAGTGACGTGCAAAAGTGGAAGCAGCGAAAGATAACCACTCAGACCCCTGGGTAAGAGGGGAGTAGAGGCTGGGAGACAGACACTATACATAGAGACAATGATAGATCCTGCTCTGTACTCATCTTTTAATCCCCACTTAGGAAGTTTCTTCAAAGTCTTTGGGGGAAACTAACACTTTTGGCTTGGATCAGACAAACTCCCTCTTTCACCAAGCCCACAACCTGTGGCAGGCTCCAGTTGGTATCAGACTGGAAAAGGGTGTAGGGGGGTGGGAGTACGAAATTGAGGCAGGATCAAAAGATCATGAATTATTAAAATGCCATTGGTCATTTACTAATGACCAATAAATAATACAACAAATTTTTATGGTCTACTCCATGCCTAATACTGAGATGGACGAAAAGGTAAATGTGAACCACCCTGTCCTTCATGACGCATTCCTGAGCCCCACCCTTCTCAGCAGGAAGTCTCCTCTCTGAACTCCAGTAGCACTTTGTACCTCCTGCCCAACATTTGTCACTTTGTACCTTGTCTCAGTTAGTTGTACATACGTCTTTCCTTTCTGTGTCATAAGCTCCTTGAACGTGTGATTCCCAGCTGATCTATGATTGTCTACATCTCAGGGTACCTGCACAGTAAATGAACAATAAAAATGTATTACATTCAAGTTTGATAACTCACTGCTGCTCAGGGTGTGAAGAAGCCAGCACTCAGGCAATGTCAGTGGGAATATGAATTGTTACAGCTTCTTCAGAGGACAATTTGGAAATAGCCATCAAAAATTTCACTTTTAGAAATTTTCTTACTTCTGCATATAGGTAAACACACATATATGGAAAGATATTAATTGGAAAATCCTCTAAAAATCTAAATGGCCGTCAGGTAGAGAGCCATTAGACACTAATAGTTGTTCTGGAAAATAAAATACAATGAACTATATCACATATTGAATAAATATGTTTTGAAAGAATATAATAGATGGGGTCAGGTACAGTGCCTCATGCCTATAATCTTTGAGAGGCCAAGACTGGAGGATTGCTGGACACCAGTTCAAAACCAACCTGGAGACATAGCAAGACCCTATCTCTATAATTATAAAAAAATCAGCTGTGAGTGGTGGCACACACCTGTAGTCCCAGCTACTGGGGAGGCCGAGGCAGGAGGATTGCCTGAGCACAGATGAGACATTAGAGGTTGCCTATGAATCCTGCCATTGCACTACAGCCTGGGTTACAAAATCAGACCCTGTCTCTGAAGAAAAAAATGAATATAATGGGTAGAAAGAAATAATTATTTGCTTGACTGTGAAGATATGTGGGGAAACTTTCTAGGTGAGGCTAATGTTTGGCATCTTGATTGGAGTTTGAATTACACAAGTGTGGTAATAGGAGGAGAGGAGGGAGAATGGGTGGAGGGAGGGTAACTGGTGGGAACAAATACTATGGTGCATTTTACAAAGGTACATGTTGATATTAAGTGTAGAGTATAAACATCTTAACACAATAACTAAGAAAATGCTATGTTGGCTCGGCGCCTGTGGCTCAAGCGGCTAAGGCACCAGCAACATACACCTAAGGTGGCGGGTTCGAATCCCCAGCCTGGGCCCACCAAACAACAATGATGGCTGCAACCAAAAAAAAATGGCCAGGCGTTGTGGCGGCGCCTGTAGTCCCAGCTACTTGGGAGGCTGAGGCAGGAGGCTCCGTCTCAAAAAAAAGAAAAGAAAATGCTATGTTAATCAGTTTGATGAAAATATTTCAAATGGTATATAAAACCACTACATTATACCCCATAATTGCATTAATGTACACAGCTATGATTTAATAAAAAAAAAAAAAAAACTCATTCAATGGTCCCCCTAAAATCTGTGTGTTTTATTGTAGGCAAACTTTACGTCAAAGGAAAAAAGTTAACGATAAATATTGAACTGTAATTACTTTTCTGCATGTTGTAGTATTTAGGCAGAATCATATTACCTGGGCACAGTTCCTCAGTGGTTAGCATGCCGGCCCCACACACCCAAGCAGGTAGATCACTTGAGCTTCGGAGTTGGAGACCAGCCCCAGAAAGAGCAAGATCGTGTCTCTAAAACATAGCCGGGTGTTATGGCAGGCTCCTGTACTCTCAGCTACTTGGGAGGCTGATGCAAGAGAATTGCTTAAGCCTAAGAATTTGAGGTTGCTGTGAGCTATGATGCCACAGCACTCTACCGAGGGCAACAAAGTGAGATTCTATCTCAAAAAAAAAAAAAAGCAGTGGAGACAGTGGGCATCCTTGTCCAGTGAAATGTTTTTAATATACCCAGATGATCAAAAATCATTTTACAACCAAGACATTTGCACCAGAATGTTTATTGCTGCCCAATTCATAATTGCCAAGTCATGGAAGCAGCCCAAGTGCCCATCTACCCATGAATGGATTAACAAATTATGGTATATGTACAGCATGGAATACTAAGCAGCCATTAAAAAAGATGGAGACTTTGCATTGTTTATGTTTGCCTGGATGGACTGGAACGTATTCTTCTTAATAAAGTATCTCAGGGGGCGGCGCTGTGGCTCAGTGAGTCGGGCACCGGCTCCATATACCCTGGGTGGTGGGTTCAAACCCAGCCCCAGCTAAACTGCAACGAAAAAATAGCTGGGTGTCGTGGCAGGCACCTATAGTCCCAGCTACTCGGGAGGCTGAGGCAAGAGAATTGCCTAAGCCCAGAGGTTGCTGTGACTTCATGGCACTCTAATAAGGGCAACAAAGTGAGACTCTGTCTCTAAAAAAAATAAATAAATAAATAAATAAAATAAAGTATCTCAGGAATGCAAAAAGAAGAGGAAGAGGGGAAGAGAGGGTGGAAGGAGGCCGTGAGAAGGGAGGGTATTTGGTGGGACCTCACCTAATGTTCATAATGCAATGGTACATTTCAAAAATATTAAAGAATAGAGTATAAATGTCTTACCACAGCAATTAAGTAAGCGAGGAGATGGTTGTGTTAATCAGTTTGATGTAAGCATTCCACATTGTATATCAAATCAGCACATTGTACCTCATAAATAAAAAAAGAAATGTATCAATGCTTGCAATTTACTTTAGCATGTACCAATAGATGGATACATGGATACCTATGTAATAAAACAAGTATAGCCTAATGTTAATTATAAAATCTAGGTGGTGAATGCATGGATGTTTGCTATAAAATTCTTTCATGTTTTTAATAAATCAGAACAAAATGGTCTATACATGTTGATCCTTATATAGTTATAATGAAAAATCTTCAACACATATTTTTAGGTGGAAAAAGAAAACTATGAAGCAGTATCTATAGCTTGCTCCCAAGTGCATAAAGAAAGGGAGGCTGTATGTATTAAATATTACTGTGGTTTTTGCATATTTATGGTCTCTCTCTGGAGAGGTGGGTACCCAGAAAAAGCTGGGAAACAGATTACCTCTAGGGAAGAGGACTGAGAGTCTGAGGTATGGTGGTATAAAGGAAACTTATATTTTACTAGAAAGTTTTGGCTGTTAAATGTTATACCAGAAGTATATATTATTTTTAATTAAAACAATTTTATTTTTAGTAATCCATATCTTCAATTTTTTTTTAACATTTTACTTTTATTTATTTTTATTTTTTATTTTTTTGCAGTTTTTGGCCCGGGCTGGGTTTGAACCCGCCACTTCCGGCATATGGTACTGGCACACTACCATTTTGAGCCACAGGCGCCACCCAATTTCTTTTTTTTTAATAGGAAAATATTCAAACATTGATATTTTCTTAGATACTGTCTTTAATCATTATTTAATCATTTCATACAAGTGTCTTACCCTTCTATCCACATCAGAAAATCCTGAAGACCAAGATCAAATGTGTTTCTTTCCTGGGTAGACACCCTTTGAGGTTAGCACTAGGCAATGCAGTTACCAGCAAATGCTCCAAGGTGAAATCAGGTCCCAGTGACAAAATGATGCCCCCTGCTGGTCTCACACAGATGCACCCACTACATTCAAACCACACCCTGGCTTGGGCTGTAGCTCATCACACTGGAGGAACGGGAGTAATAAACTTGGAAACTGGCACTAAGAAAGGTTACGTAAAGTAATTTACTCAAGGTCGCATGGCTAGTAAGTGGTAGAACTGAGATTTGAAACCAGATTTGGCCATCTCCAAAACACACGGCTGAACCATGGAGCCTTGTGTTTGCCACAGTATCTGCAGGCATTTCTAACAAAAACAATGCCTTTTTTGTTGTTGTTACTCAGCAACAGCCACACTCAATTTCTCAAATTCCAGAATAGCTTTTTGTGGCTTTATGCTGAATACCTGAACTAGAGTGACTGCCTCAACCCCACTGTTCACTCAGTTTTTTCCTAGGGAGCTTTATAGGACAATGAAACTAGATGATGAGGGTGAGAGAGTGCATTTATCCTTACCTGCTTGAGGATTTATGATTCATTGGAAACATTTCCATCTCAGAAATATCAGTGTTGCTGACCCACTCATGTTAAAACATTTATCCACCTTCCCTACTTATTTGCAGGAGCTGTGACTCAGGCAATTAATGAAGACAAAAACATAGCTAGTCGAATTAAAAGGTCAGGGTTCCAAGTTTGGTTTCAAGCCAACAAATCATGTATTTTCTCCAAGTTGGTTTCCTCCTCTGTAAAATTAAAATAATAATCAGACTTATCCCACAGGATTTTTATTAAGAATGAAATGAGACTGTGTATGTGGGCCAAACCATTTGTTTACACATAAAGAGATACACATATTAGCGACCACCAATATCCTTTTTAGATCCTTTAGATGGTATCATCTCCTGCATTGGGTTCTGTGGCTATTTAGTTGATGGTTCTATTTTTTATAAATCAGTCTTAGCTGCTAAAAGGTAAGCATCCTGATAATAGACCAGAATAATGATCTCAGAATGCCACAGGTGTTTTCGTTAAATTATCATTAGAAGGGCAGCCCAAAAGAATGTTTAGAGTGGAATAAGGCAGGATTAAGAAACAGGGTTCTGGGGTCAGACTATGGGTTCAAATCCTGATCTCACCCTTGATTAGCTACTCATTGTTCCTTGAGTTTCTGCCTTCCTCTAGAAAATTATAATAACATAATTATAGTAGCTGCTTCCTGTCATATTATACATATTTCACACTTGATCTTAGCCAAAAGGTGAGAAGTGATATTATACATATTTTAAATACTTAATTTGTGGAAAGTATTTAGTATAGTAAGCAATACACACAAAAGACTAACACATGTTAGCTACAACTATAAAGCAGACCCAGATTCAGAAACACAAGATCACAGCAATACAAAGCCACAGAGAGAAGGGACAGCAAGAGGCATTGTCTGGCCATTACCTCTGCTCTCCCCTTGTTCCCTTTGTTCTCTCACTTCCTTCACCTCATTCCCCCAGTGAGGAGCCATAGGCAGAGAAGAATGATTCCATCTCTATCAGGGCTTGTCTATTCGCTCGCAAATAGAAAGGAGAATGCCATTTGGATTAAGTGGTGCATTCATTCATGTTTTGCCAAGGATACTAAATTGATAAAGAAAGTAAAAGAAGACTTTTGGGAAACAATTTGGCCATATATATTCAGGGCAATAAAGACCACACCTAGGGTGGCACCTGTGTCTCAAAGGGATAGGGCGCCAGCCCCATATGCCAGAGGTGGTGGGTTCAAGCCCAGCCCTGGCCAAAAACTGCAAAAAAAAAAAGACCACACATAGTAGCTAATCAAGGGTACGATCAGGATTTGAACCCACAATTGCTTGTCTCTGATTTTCTTAAAATTCATCCTGAGGAAATAGTCTACAAAAGAGAAAAACTACACATAAGATGCTCATTACATTATTTTTTAAATGGCTTAACTAAGATGTAATTCACTCTCACCTGCTGGGTACAATGTGGGAGTATCCAGCATATCTTCTGGGTGAAGAGCTCATCTGCAACTTGGACTTTATCTAAAAACATAAATAGTATAACCTATTCATATGTACCTTTATAGTCATGTGAAATTTAAAAAAAAGATGCAATTCACTCTTTTAAGGCACATGCTTCAGAGGGAGTTTTTTTAGTATTATTCAGAGTTGTGCAAACACCATCACTATGTAATTTTAGAACACTTTCATCACCACAGAAAGGAACCCATTAGCAGTTATTCCTCATTTCTCCCTCCCCTCTAACCAGCCCCAGCAACCTCTAGTCTACTTTCTGATTCTTGCAGCATTCTTTTCAATGACCAAAAAACAATTAACAAAATAAGCTCAATGTTATTAAGTAAAATATTATAAGGGTATATTAATCAAATTATGGCATAGCAATAAATATTATATGGATATTAGAAATTACTACAATAAAGTCTGTATCCACAGGTAAAATATATACTATACAAAGTTTAAGATTTGTTTATGATACAAAGTGGTGACTATATTCTGATTTCAACTAGACCGTACTCTGGTTTATATGTTTACAGCCTGAAAGAAATATGTTGAAATTTTAAATGACCAACTAAGGATGATGAGATTAGGGATCTTTTTTTTTTCTTTAGCTTTTAGATATTTTGTAACATTTTTAACAAATGCAGTTTTTAGAAAATCAATTTTAAATTATTAGAATAGAGAATGTGTGAAAGGGCAAGGACAGCTAGCAGTCTAGACTTTCTGATTTCAATCCAGTTCTTATTTCAGTTTTAAAAAAATCACTCCATTGCACCATCCTTCTGGCAACCAAGGGTCCTAAGCTATAAAGGTTTTACTTCTCCCAAACTGTATACAAATAATCCCTCACACCCAGACATTCAGGCCACAACCTTTGGCCCCTTGCCCTCTTAGCCTTCCCTACCCTCCCCCTAGAACCCACTCCTTAACAGAGCCTCCTTACCGATCATACATACCAACGACCCTTGGCCAATTTCCTTCTATTCCTCTATGAATTGATTGATCGAAATCCTAATTCCAAATACTGTCCCTTTATGAGCTCAATAGGAAGGAAATTGGTGGAAACAAAACAACCACCAGCCCTCCTCTCCCTACTTCAATTAGAGCAGTGATTTTCAAATGGTTTGCCACAGCAGACTATGATCTTATGAGTGCCTCAAAAATTTTAAAGATCACTTAATTAAATTATTTTCAAAAGTAGTTCAAAGCACAATAAGTATTTTTTTTACTGTTTTTCGGATCAAGCGTGCTGAGGAAGTTTAACTATGGGTTCAAGTGTGCCATGAGATTAAAAAAAAAAAAAAGGTTGAAAACCACAGAAATGAGACTCATCTCTTCTAGAGACCAAGGACTTCCTGCTAGGCCTCCTTCCCCTCCCCACTGTCAATCTGAGACCCAGAACCACTTTCAACATTTGACCACTACCCACACATACATTCCACAGTGGAAAGATTCACTTTCTCCCTCTCTTTCTCCCTCTCTTTCTCTCTCTCTCTCTCTCTCTCTCTCTCTCTCTCACACACACACACACACATACACACCCTCTGCTGCCATAGCCCTGGACCAATTCCATAGCTGACTCTGGGGAGCCTGGCTGGGCTATGTGTCTACCTTGTCTGCAATTTGTCTGGCTGATTACACTTCAGAGGAAGGGAGCCCAGTCCTGTCTAACCTTCTCTGGCTCAAGGACAAAGAGTGCCTCCACCCCACTCTCCACCTCACACCTACAAAGCCTGACTCACAACTAAAGAGTGTGACTTCTGTATCTCCACCAGGTGTGGTGAGACCAGGTGAGAGGGCAGCCATCAGTAAAAGCATGTACTCAATTCAGTGAGTGCCTACAATGTGTCAGGAACCCTGTCTGTTTCCAAAACTCACAGACGGCTGAAACTCATCATTCACCTTGAGAAGCACCGGAAGGAGACCAGATAAACAGAAAACTACCGTGTAAGCAGGTAAATGGTGGGGCAGATTTAGGAGGAACGCTGTGGCTGCACAGTGGAGACCGGCGCCGCAGCTGGCACCGCCTTCGAGGTGGATATTGAAGAACCAACAGTTAAAAGGCCAAGGATGTGGCCACAGAAAATAGGGAGCCTGCGGACACAGTTCTGGGGAGCGCCATTCCATTCCCACCCCCCACCCACCCCCAATCGCTGACGGTGTGCAACGCACCGTGAGAGCTACACATTCAACAAGCCGTGTCTCTTCTCCCAGGCTTTGGAGAGATGAACACAAAATAAATTACCCAAATGGAAGACAAAAGTGCCTAGGGCTGTAATTGACATACAACACTCATTGGGAAGAAAGGAGAGGGAAAATTCTAACTCTGATCCTAAGTACAAAGTTCTTCGAGAGTGAGAGGAGCACCATCCTTACAGCATTTCACCCGGCCGGCAGAGTGAACGAAAATCAGAAAAAAATCAAGGTGCGGCAGCAGTGAGAGGTGGGCCTTTTGAGACAGGGGCGGGGCAGACAGGACAGGAACGGAGGGATTGGGCGGAACAGGAGAGGCCCGAGGGCTCCACCCCGCCCTCCTCGCTTCTCCACCCCACTTTCTGCAGAGTCTGTGCAGACAGGTGAGTGAGGAACTCCTGAGGCAAGTGAGGGGGCTGGAAGGTCCTGGGATCCGGGCAGAGGTGTGAGGAGAGGGTCTGCGACTCCTTGTGATACGGAGTTCTGGGGACTCCTGACAGGCAAGTTTTGGGGTAGGCTGCCTGGAGTTGTTGCTGCTTCAGAGGACAGAGGCCCTCCCAGCCCCTGAGCTAACTTCTTGCAGGAAACTTGAAATTGAGTTTCGTGCAGTGAGGGGAGGAGGAGTCCTTGTGCTGGCAGATATGGGGTCTCAAAAAGACCTTAAGTTATGAGTGACCCTGGCTGTGGCCCTGGGTCTCTGTCTCTAAGATTCTTTCCCACACAGTTGTGGGAAAACACAATTCCTCCTGTGGCTCTGTTGTGCCTGCATGCACGTTCTCTCTCCAGCTGGAGCATGGGGTGATGGTGGAGAAAAGGGAAAGACCAGATCAGAAAGGGTAAGTGGGTCTCCCTCTCCCCTTCTTTCCCTGGTGGATTGGACCATAGCTGGGCTGGTGGGGGTGGAGGACCCACAGAAGCTATCACAGGCAAAGGGCAGAGCCTGCCCCATTACCTGGATTCCAGAGATGTCCTAGTGTACGGAGGCCTCAGGCAGGGCACACCCAGTACTGGATTCTGCATGGTGTGGAGGAACAGAGATGGAAAGGAGACTGTAGAGAAGAAAAAGAAAGGAAGGAAGTCAGAGCCCTGACACAGTAAACTCACATGAGCACTGGGAGTAAGCATGACCAGAACTGGTTTCCTGGCTATTTCACACACACTGATATGGAGAGAGAATAGTGGAGCTGGAAGGGACCCTGCAGATCATTTATCTGACTTAAGATTTAAGAACGTGGAACCCAAAAGGGTGTACAAAATGGTTACTTTAGTATTTGACACTACAGTGATACCCACTGCTACTTTAGACACAACAGCTGTGTGTCTTTTTGCAGGAGCCTGGGGAGGGGCCATGGTGCCAAGCCACTTGTGGGGGAGACTGGAGAAGCCGTTTATCTTCCTGTGCTGTGCCTCCTTCCTCCTGGGATTGGCCTTGCTGGGAATACAGCCGGACTTTGCCCCAGTTTCTTATTTCTTTCTCGCCTTGGGTGGCTTCTTCCTGTTAGCCTGCCTCCTAGCCTGTTTTCTGGAATGGGTGGTTGGGCTCCCATTCCAGCAGCAATCAATGCAGTCAGAAAACCCAAGGGCCTCAGGCCATGGACGGTGAGTTAAGGGGTGGGCAGGAGGATGGGAATAGACCTTGGGCCCATTCTCCCTCTGTGCCTCTAGTCTTTGAGGTATAGAGTCCCTGCTTTCCTCTGTCATTTGCAACAGTGAGAGGAGGGCTCAGGTGCCAGGAGGGAATCTTTTGCTGGTAGCAGACAGAAAAGAGAAAAAGGGCTTTCAGGAAGCCACCCATTTCTTCTCCTTCAGGGTCAATGAAGCCTTTGAGGTGCCAGCCTATGAAGAGGCTACCGAGGTGTTCAGATCACAGCACCATCCCCAAGAGGTGGATCAACCACCCCCCTACAGCAGTGTTGCACTCCCCCCAGTACCTGAGGAGGGACAGCATAGCCACCCAGGCGGGCCTGAGAGAGCCAGACTGGAAAGGCGAGTGGGCTCAGAGGGATCTTTGGCCCAGGAAGCAAGCCCCGGAAGAACTCCAGTCAGCCATCAGCTTCGGGGACCACGGACCGTGTCCACTGCTCCTGATCTGCGAAACTTGGAGGCAGGCCCCAACCTGGAGCCTCTTACTCCACCTCCTGCCTATGATGTCTGCTTTGGTCAGCCAGATGATGATAATAGTTTCCTCTGAAGGCAACCGGACAACGCTCCCCTAAACAGCTCTGGCAGGTTTCATTTTCTCTCCACACCAGAACCACTCATGCATTTGACCATTTCCCAGTGCCTCCTATGCCCTGTTTCTGCCTGGACATTATAAATGTACTTGGACCCAGAGGGGAATAAGGCTATAGAACGCATTTCCCCGCTGAGATGTAGGTGGTGTAATTTTAGTGGTCAATGTTCAGTGCCATAAGCCAGTATTTCCAGAGTGAGATTGAAGGTGAGGTAGGAGGTGATCCAGAGAAGCTAGGGCAGGAAAAAAAGAGATAGCATCTGAGTGACAGCTATACTGCTTCTGATCCAGGTGTATATAAACAGAATGATGGGCCAGACTTTGTCTACAGACAGGTGGGGTAGGTGTGAACACGGATGCCCCCATCCTCCTAGATAAGTAAAGGTAATCAAAGCTCTGATGGTCACTGATGCTCCATGTGCGCAGCACTTCCTGTGCCTCTCTCCTACCCAGGGGCTGGACAGCAATCCCCAGTACAGGGACCTCCATCTTTTTTTTGAGACAATGTCTCACCATGTCACCCTCAATAATGTGCTATGACGTCACAGCTCACAGCAACCTCAAACTCTTGGGTTTAAGCTATTCTCTTGCCTTAGCCTCCCAAGTAGCTGGGACTACAGGAGCCCACCACAATGCCTGGCTATTTTTGTTGTTGTTGTTGCAGTTGTCATTGTTTAGCAGATCCGGCCGGGTTTGAACCACCAGCCTCTGTGTATGTGGCCCACGCCCTAACCACTGAGCAACGGGCGCTGAGCCAAGTGACCCCCATCCTACCTGAAAGAAGTAAATGGCCACTCATGGATGGTCTTCCAGTTTTAACAAGTGGATATGACGGCCAGAAAGAATACAACATGTGGCTTTCTTAGGGAGGGGCTAAAGGGTTATATCTAAAGAGGTTCATTTTTATTCATCTATTATGAAGTGCCGGGGTCACTTGCAAAGTGTGTCTAATCGCTTTTGCCTCACCTCGGCGCTCTGGCGGCTAGGGTTTTGCCCCAGCTTCCTGCCCTGCTTTCTCGGATCTCAGTACGGAACCCCAGATTTTCTGGAATTATGTGCTGCGGCTGTGAGACGGGACGCCGCACTCCCCCACTCAAGCCTTCATTCACTGAGCAGATATTTATCTAGCGCCTCCTAGTGCTCCCCACCTTCTCCGCACCCTAGTCCCAACAGTTCAAAAAGCAAAAAGGCCGACCAAACCTGTTTCGGTGACTTGACTGCAATAAACTGGGCAGGAGTGGTGGGTGGTGCCAGCGTGATTTCCGCGGGAATCTACAACCAATCGGATTCCCAGGTAGGTAGGGCCTTCCCCTCACTCTTTCTCCGCCACTTCCCCTTCCGCCGACTGCCTTCTGGCATCCTATTGGATAGCGCGGCCACCTTGAGAGTTCTACGCTTGCGCGCGCACCAGCATCGGCAGAGATCTAGCGGACCTGGAGCCGGGAAGGGGCAGGGCGAAGGCAAGACGCAGGCGCAGCGTGCGTCGTAGGGGAGGGGAGGGATCTGCAGGAAACGCCGGCCCACTGTTTGTTTGGATTGTGGGCGGTGCACGCGTAGCCCGGGAAAAGCGGGAAATGGCCGCGCCGAGCCCTGGGTCTTTTCCTGTGCTACAACAGAAGGGGTTAATGGCCACTGACAGGGGGCGCAGGTGAGTGGGGAAGGGTTCTGGGGGTTCTTACCGGGACCCAAGGAAGAGGAACACCGGCCCTGCCGCCTCCTCCCCTTGGGTTTCCTAAAAGCAGCTGCGTCCGCGCTTCCTGCCAAGGGTGGGAGGCCCTGCCGAGCGGATCGGAGCCTAAATCTGCGTCGGGGAGCGCAAGCGTGTCAGTTGGCCCAGTCCCTCGTGGACGAAGACTACCCCAACCTCCCTTCGTCCAGCCCCGGGGATTCTGAATAAGGAAGGGATGCTCTTGCCAGACCTGCCAGATTTCGGCTTCGGCTTTTCTTGAAGATGCTCTGTCCTTTCCCTAAGAGGGACTATTCTCTGTGCCCTTAAAAAAACACCATACAGTCTGTAGATCTTGGTGCGCAGCCTGGTGGGCATTTGATTTGTTTTGACAGTATCATGGCCTTCGTTGCTTTTCATAAAATCAGATTTTCAAAGTTTGCACAGGCTGACCGTGGAGGAGGAGGTTCTTGTGGCTTCGTCTCTGCCTCTGCCCCCATCATTCTATTTCATGGCACACATCACCCAGAACATGTATTAATGACACCCAGATTAATCTAGGTCTTCAGAATGGGAAACTGCAGAAGGACACAGAATCAAAACCTAAGGACTTGCTGGTGTCCTTTTTCTCTACTCCCTCCTTCCTTTCCAGATGGGTCCCAAAATTCTAAATGGAAACTTTTGGAACGTTCACATTAGAGACTCTAGCTTCATAATATCAAGAGTTAGGCTCGTCGCCTGTGGCTGAAGTGGCTAAGGTGCCAGCCACATACGCCTAAGGTGGCGGGTTCAAATCCAGCCTGGGCCCGCCAAACAACAATGCTAGCTGCAACAAAAAATATAGCCAGGCGTTGTTGTGGGCACCTATGGTCCCAGCTCCTTGGGAGGCTGAGGCAGGAGACTTGCTTGAGCCCAGAAGTTGGAGATTGCTGTGAGCTGTGAGGCCATGTAACTCTACCCAGGGAGACAGCTTGAGGCTCTGTCTCAAAAAAATAATAATAATAATATCAAGAGTTAGGTCTACAGAGCGTGAATGATACTTGAGATAAAATTAAGGAGTATTTGTTCACTGAAAATTTAAGTTTGAAACTTGAGAAAATTAAGAACTGGAAGTCAGTAAGTTGTGAGTATGATGAGATTGCCTAGGGAGAGGGTCTTTGAGGGGTAGTATTCATAGAATATCAAATATCATCTGCAGGCCAAAGACCCTTTAAAGGAAAAAGGAACAGAGAGGGTAGTCAGAGGAAATGGTGTCATGGAAACCAAGAAAAGAGAAAGTTTTAAGAAGAAAATGCTACTGGTAAACTAAAGGAAATTGCTTCACCATTGGTTATGTATTCTGGGGAAATGCTCAGCACCCAGCTGCAGTGTTATTTTATTTCTACCATTTTGATTTGTGTAAATGATGATGTAGCAGGTTTTTACTGAAGGTTCGGGGTTGCAGAAATATTAAAGTAAAACAAAAGTTAAAATGGAGTTTCAGACTCATTGTCCCAAACTCAAAATTTGTTGGCTGCTTCCAACTCTCTTCATCTGCCTTAGAATCCCCCTGCTCTATTCTAGGGTCTCTCAGTTCTGCAAGGCCCTGCTTTCCCTGATACATCTCTAATCCAAATACATCCATCCTATAGATGTATGATATTTCACTGATTCTGAGATGCAGAAATTTTCCCCTGCATTTCAACACCTTTGAAATCAAGATGCATTTTTAAATAGGCATTTAATTTATAAACTAAAGTTATTATTTTGTTTCTCACTGCTGTCAGGCTCTTAAATGTTGTTATGTATTTGGAAACTGACTAAGCAGGTTGGAGAGCTCTGGATTTATATAAACTAGATGTGTGGATGATGTACATTGAAAATAGCGTTCTTTTAGTTCCTAAGTAGAAGATAATCTCTTTGCAAGCCAGTAGCAAAGCTAAGTAATCTTTGAAATAAATGTAACCTTAGTAAACTAAGTTACCAAAATAATTTCATCTTTATTTTTTAACTCTTTAAGTGATTTCAAATTATATTGATTGTGTTGTTTTATTCCTCAGCCAAGATTATTTTAAACTTTTATCATTTTCAGCAGCCTAGATAAATAATGTGTAATGTTTTCTGGAATAGCTCTCTTAATTAAAATTGTCCTGTCAAACAGAGAATTATACCTTTTCATGAATATATGTGTGCTTGAATGTATTATTTTGATTAAAATTTACCTCCCCTAGTAAAACTGTTCATCTCTACTGGTCTTGTGTTACTGCTTAATACATGAATGGTTTCACCAGATTCAATAAAATATGCCTCAGCTTGGTTATTATAAATCCTGTTCTTTCTACCCATGCCTCTTTCGCTCCACTCTTCTGCACCAATTATGTACTTGACAGCCTTTCCTTCTACCTTTGATCTATAGGACATTGGGAGTGTACGGCATGCACCCTGACCATCAGGAAACTCTAAAAAAGAACCGAGTGGTGCTAGCCAAACAGCTATTGCTGAGTGAGCTGTTAGAACATCTTCTGGAGAAGGACATTATCACCTTGGAAATGAGGGAGCTCATCCAGGTATCTAGACACAAAAGAGAGAAGTTAAGAATATAAATTGATTTGGGAGTAGGAATGGAGCCTGACAAATTATGGAAAGGATATGGTACCTTAAGAAATTAGAAATGCCTTTCTACTTCCGAGTATTTAACCAAATAACTATGTAATTCAATGATAATGGGAAGAACTTTTCTTATAAAAGGAATTCTTTAGATGGATGAAGATACTAAGAAGTCCATGGAAAGAAATAAAATTGTAGCCAGATAAAGTAAATAAGATTTATGTTTTATTCTTCGGTCTTAGGCCAAAGTGGGCAGTTTCAACCAGAACGTGGAACTCCTCAACTTGCTGCCCAAGAGGGGTCCTCAAGCTTTTGATGCTTTCTGTGCAGCACTGAGGGAGACCAAACAGGGCCACCTGGAGTGTATGTTGCTCACAACCCTCTCTGGTCTTCAGCGTGTGCCCCCACCGGTATGGAGACCTAGAAATGTGCGTTGGGAAGGGTTAATTTGGCTTGAGAGGAATTTTTGAGGCAGGGTGGGGGCAACAAGATTTTAATTGGACTAGACTATTACCATAAGGTCTGTCATCGTGAGTCCTGATTTCTTACAGTTGAGCTGTGACTATGACATGAGTCTCCCTTACCCGGTATGTGAGTCCTGTCCCCCTCACAAGCAGCTCCGCCTGTCAACAGGTAAGAATTGATGAGATAAAAGATGTCCCACAGTTTGACTTCCCTTTTCTTGACTGATAATCTGCCTGTGCCCTAACCTGAGGCATATTTTATATTGGGAACAGTTCTCCCAGAATTTGTTAGGGGCTAGCAGAACAGTATAGATGGGTATTAGTTGGGCCCATTTCCCTTACATCACACACATTATTTTATATGGTAGTTAGCCCTTTGAGCAACTGGTATGGGCAGGAAGTTTCTACACATTATTGGCCTGTCTCCTCTATAAAGCGTAGTGAGAAAATACTACATTTGGGGCTTGCTGATTGTGTAGCCTAGTAAAAGCCTACCAGGCTTTTATCAGATAACCCCGTCAACCATTCAATGAATTGAGCACCTACTACATGCAAGCTAAGTTCAGAAGACAGTGTGAGCCAGAGCTAACAGAGTCTCTACCCTTACGGAGCTTACAGAGTATGGAAATGAGATAGTATTTATCAAAACCCTAGTTCAGGGGGATGCCTGAAGTTATGATGACATTTTCTAGGATTGATGCTTAGATTAGTATACTAGCTTTTTGGCTTTCTGTTTATACCACAGATACTATGGAACACTCCTTAGACAATGGAGATGGTCCTCCTTGCCTTCAGGTGAAGCCTTGCACTCCTGAATTTTACCAGACACATTACCAGCTGGTGAGTTTTGCATGACAAGAGAAAAAAAGTTAGGGAGGGAAATACCCTTCCTGGGGATCTGAACCTAGTTTGCATTTGTATTTCTTTACTGTGTTATTAGTGAAAAAGTCATTGCTGATGGAGTGCCTTCCATGGGCACTTACCTATTTCCCCTCGTGAGGTTAAGGAGAATGTGATATAGTTGTTTTTTTTTTAAATGTCTAATCAGGAGGCTGATGATTTTACTGGGTTCCTTCCCCAGGCCTATAGGTTGCAGTCTCGGCCTCGTGGGCTGGCACTGGTGCTGAGCAATGTGCGCTTCACTGGAGAGAAAGACCTGGAATTTCGCTCTGGAGGGGATGTGGACCACAGTACTCTAATCACCCTCTTTAAGCTTTTGGGCTACGATGTCCATGTCCTACATGACCAGACTACACAGGTACTTGAGGCAGGAGAAACTAACATGTAAATTAGGACTGGGCAAGATATGAGGACTAATGACAGCTAGCTGATTCTCCTGAGCCTACTGGGATATGTCATAAGGTCATTTACTCTCCTTACCTTTTTACTCAGCTCTGTTATGCCTCTCATCTTGCAAAAGAAGAATCAGGGTCTGCTAGCTGTTGCAGGGTTGACATCTCTGAGTAGCTGTACTTTCCGAGGATAATAATCCAGGGTTGGGTCTCACTTGTTCAGAAGCTCAATTCCCAATAACAAGGAAAGTGATGGGACACCAAGATTCATCCTAACCAACTCAGAAAAGATATTTGTAAGGTTTATCCAGGACATTGACTTCTGGGTTGTTGTTGCTACTTGGGAGTCTAATTGTTATTTAAAAGATTACTTTAGCATATAAAAATCTTGCAAATGAAAGTTTGCTAGAAGTATCCCTACAAATGCTAATGATTGAACATATGAGGAAATTCTTTATTGTTACCATTTGTGTGGCCATAAGTCATATCTTACCTCTGGACTAGATTCCCACAAATCATAAGCATTTTCATGAGGGGTTATTACTGGGTAATATCATTTTTTAAGATAAAGTCATACTCTGTTGCCCAGGCTAGAAAGATAAGTTCCATTTAAAAGTAGAAAATATTATAGTAAGACTTAGAGAATCTTCTTCCCTTCACAGTGCTGGAGAGAATGCTAGGATTCCCACTGTCCAAGTAGGTTTTTGTTTTCCTTTGTGATCAGATTTTTATTGCATCTACCTGATGAGGTTGCAAGTTTTAGAATTACAATTTATTATGTATTAGGAAATGAAGTACATTTTAATGTGGCAGATTTTCTTTTAATTGTTTTTAAGTTGGATTTGGGTGATAGTACTTGGAAAATGTAGGGACAAGTCTTGGGTCATGTGTGGAAAATGCAGCTACCGTGGAGTTTTGCATGTAATTGCAGAGGATTTACAGGTTATTCTCTTCACATGTGTGCCCAATCCCCCAGCCAAAACACGTGCAAGAGGTAAGAGCCCTTCTATTTATAGAAGTGCTATAATTTTATCAGAAATAAACCTAGGATTCTATTTTAAGCTATGTTCCTTGTGGAACATTTCCTTCAAATGATACCATTTATTGAGTGATTTAGTCTTACTAAATTCAGTTACAAAATGTTTGTGCTCTTTTGGGGGTTTTGTTCTCTATTTACTGACTTAATAATCTCACTAAGTTCAAAATGCTCATTATTAGGTGGCACCTGTAGCTTAGTGGCTAGGGCGCCGGATACGTACCCTCAGGCTGGCGGGTTTGAACCTGGTGAGGCCAGCTAAACAACAATGACAATCCAACAAAAAAATAGCCAGGCCTTATGGCGAGCACCTGCAGTCCTAACTACTTGGGAGGCTGAGGCCAGAGAATTGCTTAAGCCCAAGAGTTTGAGGCTACTGTGAGCTGATGCCACAGCACTCTACCAAGGGCAACATGGTGAGACTCTGTTGCAAAAAAAAAAAAAAGCTCGTAATTTGTGTTCACTTCCTTGGGCAAAATTATAACTTCTTAAACTACTGTATGTTAAATTTTATTATTGTCAGCCCCAGGGGAACATTCACAGTAAGATATTCCCAAAACAGGGTGGTGCCTTGGCTCAGTGGGTAAGCCCCATATACCGAGGGTGGAGGGTTCAAACTCAGCCCCGGGCAAACTTCAACAAAAAAATAGCCAGGTGTTGTGGCAGGTGCCTGTAGTCCCAGCTACTCGGGAAGCTGAGGGAAGAGGATCACCTAAGCCCAGGAGTTGGAGGTTGCTGTGAGCTGTGATGCCGTGGCACTCTACCAAGGATGGTCAAGTGAGACTCTGTCTCTAAAAAAAAGGATATTCCCAAAACAAATGCATTTTTTTTTTCTTGAGACAGAGCCTCAAGCTGTCCCCCTGGGTGGAGTGCTGTGGCATTACAGCTCACAGCAACCTCCAACTCCTGGGCTCAAGCGAGTCTTCTGCCTCCGCCTCCCAAGTAGCTGGGACCACAGGCGCCCGCCACAACGCCCGGCTATTTTTTGGTTGCAGCCATCGTTGTTTGGCGGGTCCGGGCTGGGGATTCGAACCCGCCACCTTAGGTGTATGTGGCTGGCACCTTAGCCTGTTGAGCTATAGGCACCAAGCCAACAAATGCATTTTTGATACCTTTTATTGCCTTTAGGAAAACAAATGCATTTTTGACATTTTTTATTGCCCTTAGAATGCCATTATTAGGCTGGACGCAGTAGCTCACACCTGTAATCCTAACACTCTGGGCAGCTCTGGCAGGTGGATTGCTTGAGCTCACGAATTTGAGACAAGCCTGAGCAACAGCAAGTCCCCGTCTTCTTAAAAAAAAAAAATAATAATAATAATAATAATAACCAGGTGTTGTGGTAGGCACCTGTAGTCTCAGCTACCCAGCTACTCAGGAGACTGAGGCAAGAAGATAGCTTGAGCCCATGAGTTTGCGGTTGCTATAAGCTGTGACCCCATGTCACTACCCGGGACAACAGTCAGACTCTGTTTCAAAAAAAAAAAAAAGAATTCCATTATTATGGTTGGCTTCTGTTTACCCAGAAAATATACTTTTTCAACAAAACCATTTTCTTCATCTTCAACTATGTTGTAGACTTTTGCATCATTTTTTATTTGGCTGAGGCTAGATTTGAACCCACAACCTCCAGTATATAGAGCCGGCACCCTACTCCTTTGAGCCACAGGTGCCGACCCAGACTTTCGCATCTTTTATATAATTGTGTCTCAGTCATCTACAAGCAGAAGTATTTAGATTAATGGGGCTGAAACATTAACATGTCAGAATCACCTCAACAGCTTTAAACAGTTTGCTGAGGCCCTGGATTTCACATTTCTTACCAGTTCCTAGGTAATGCTGTTGTTGCTGCTTTAGGGACCACACTTTAAGAACCACTGCAGTATATTATACAAATATCCTTTTTATTTTGGGAGTGTGTGTGGTAAGTGTGTGCTGTATCGGTTTTGCCTAGGTAGCATATTCATCTTCATTATATTCCATTCAAATTTATAGTAAAATGAACTTGTTTCTTCCCTGTTCATCTTAGATAGGGGAGAAGAGAGAGATGTCTTGAGTTGTACAAGGAGCTATGGTTTTAAAAATTTGTGCCAGATCTTTATACTATTACTTGTGTACAGTATAACTTTCTGTGCAGTGAACCAAAAGCTCATGGTAGTAGTATTCATGTGTGGCAACTTAGTGCAAGATTCTTAAGTTGGACTATAAGGTTGATCAGTAATAGGTTTCTTTGCCATGCACATTATAATGATATTTGTAGTTTGTGCTAGACACAGTGAAGAGTCCTTTCTACACACAGTTATCTTAATCTTCACAAACTTAGAGAAAATTTACCTATAATTATTTTTTTATAAAGTGGAAATAGGAGCCTTGAGGGGCTAAATAACTTGTTCCAGTTTATGAACTGGTAATGCTGTTGTTGCTGCTTTAGGGACCACAAGGTTTAAACCTAGATGGTTCTGACCCCAGAGTTTTTATGTGTATTCAGTGCTCTGTGCTCTGGACAGAATCCCCATGTGTAGTGTGCTCTTGACTGAACAAAGTATTTTATGCTGGCATCATCACTCTCTCTTAGATGCGTATGATCTCAGACAGAAACCAGCGTGCAAGTACTGCCATCCACTACTATCACGATGCTCTTAACCCTGTGTCTCAGAGCAGTTTATTTTCTTATAGCTGAAGAGGTATGTTATTCATTCACAGCTCTCCTGGTGGTTCCCTTTTGCTATTGATTTATATAAGGGCACTTGCTCTGATGATGGATGTAGTTATCACCAGGAAATGAATCAAAGCTGACAAGGTCTTGATTAGTTTTATTAGTCACTTGTTATAATACAGGAGTTCTTCACCTATCTCAGTGAGTTGTACCTGAAGTCTTGTGCTTTTTTCTGGTGACTTCATAGCTTTCTTTAAACTTTCCAAGGATCTCTGACTTAATCATTGACCATAGAATATACATAAAATATTTTATCTTCTAATAGCTTGGGGTTTCAAACAGAAGCCAAAGATTGGTGCTTATATTGGTGCTAATTGCAGTGAACAACGTTAAAAGTTACCTTTCTTTTAGGAAATGCAAGAGAAACTCCAGAAGTTTGCACAGCTACCTGCACACCGTGTTACAGACTCCTGCATCGTGGCACTTCTCTCTCATGGTGTAGAGGGTGCCATCTATGGTGTGGATGGCAAACTGCTCCAGGTGCGGATAACTATTGAAATTGGCCCATCACCTCCTATCACCCATCTTTGCAGGAATGGCTACTATTGTGTGTGTAAGACTCCAGGAGGCTCTATTCACTACTAAAATTCCCTTCTTCCTTGTTTCCTTCTGGCAGCTACAAGAGGTTTTTCGGCTCTTTGACAATGCCAACTGCCCCAGCCTACAGAACAAGCCAAAAATGTTCTTCATCCAGGCCTGCCGTGGAGGTGAGTGCCCTGGCAGACCAGCACCTGGGTGGTGGCTCCTGGGCAGCCTCCCACCAGCTCTCACTTTCCTGTTTGCTCCTCTCAGGTGCTATTGGATCCCTTGGGCACCTCCTTCTGTTCACTGCTGCCACCGCCTCTTTTGCTCTGTAAGTGTCTCCCAATGCATGGGGTGTGCTGGGACTTGGGCAGCCCATGGCTCTCAGGCTGGTCAGCTCTCTGTGCACCACCATATCCTGTTCTCAGGATTCTCTTGTCAGTGTCCTTGCCTTCTTTTCCGAGAGTTCTTATTTGTGTCTATGCTTATTAACTCTGATGCACTTTGTTACTCATCCAGGTTATGGATTTCAATCTGTCTCTTTTTCCTTTCCCTTTCTTTTTACCTCCTTCTTTTCTTACTCCTTTTCTCTTCCCTTTTTCCACTTGCTCCTTTTACTGCTCTGTTCACTTTCATGTATACTCTCACCTCCTTGCCTTTATCATTCATGGACTTTGCAGGACAGCAGTATGGAATCCACATCAACCTTTGACACTTCTTCTTCCCTGAGCTGCTTCTGTCCCTCTTTTTTTTTTTTGCATGCAGTCTGCTTTACCCCTTTCAGAGCCAGGACTGCAGGACAAGGCTCAAAAGACACACAGGGATACTCCTCGCCCTGGAGGAAAATAATAATAATTAACTTTGGAGTCAAATTCTGGCTCTACCATTTACTGGTTATGTTAGAAAAGTTATATGACATGCCTCCACATCCATAATAGAAAGTATAGTCGTTGTACCTACTTCATGAGGTCACTGTGGCCACTAAATGGAATCATGCATTTAAGGGCTTCCTTAGTTCTATGCCTGCCTCATACTAAATCCACAGAAATGGGTAGCTACAACTTTATCATATGATCAATCCCTCAGAGGGCTTATAGTCTGTTTTAAATGTCATTTTGTGCAAACATTCAAATAATTACTTTTTAAATCTATTTTGTGGCCAAATGTAAATGTCGACTAATATCTTTCTAATCTAATAGGTCTATAAAATATATTTTATTGAGGTCCTATAACATAACTAGAACTGCACTAGATGCTACCACAAAAGCAAAAGAAAATGTAACCTGTGAGGAGCCTACCAGAAAAACAGGAAATACACAAGAATTAGCTTGAGACTAATTCAGAGGCCTCATGTAAGCAAGGGTGAAATCAGTGAGACACAACCTATAGGTACAAAGGGGTGTGCAGTGAGAATAGATCGTTTTAAGTGAAATTAGCTCGAAGAGATTCTGTGCATAGGGTAAAGCTTAATTTGGACTCAGAATAACATGATTTATGTATTTGTAGAATAGCAAATAGTCTTTCACAGGAAAAGTGACACTGCAACATGAAAAGCACAACAAGCTTACAGGGGCATTCACCCTTCTCAAAAAAATGCCCAGATGTAATTAAAAACTAAGTATCTGTGTAGGTGTGTAGTAAGCTGTGCTTGGTCACATTAAGTAAATCTAGACTTCAGATAATAGTATGGAGCTGTTGGAAGCTTTAAGTAAGACATAATGTGATAGATTTCAGAAATAATGTGATAGACTTTTTTCCAGGAGGGTTGCTTGCCATGGCGGGGGCTGCCCTAAGGAAAGAGCATGTGGTACAGGAACAGCACTGCTTGACACACTGTAGCACTTACACATGTTCAGTGAATGGATGGAAATTAACCTGCCTGATTAAGTCTAACGGTGATATAGAAAACAGATATGGGGATATTGATGATGAGAGAACTAGTATCATTCATTGATTAGGAGATCTGCGGCATGAAGGAAAGGAGGAGAGTTTTCCTTTCTCTTGAGGGACACATTCAGCTTGGCCTGTTTCCTTTAGGAATCATTGCTAGCAAAATAAAGATGTGTGGGCATATTCTCCCATGTTTGGAGATGTATACAATATTGGATCAGGATAGGGAGAAATTTTTACAAGTCATCTGAATGTTTTGCTGTTGCTTATGAAATTAACAATCAAAAAAACTATCTTAGAAACTGATGATGCTTAGTTTTATAATTTTTTATAAAAAAATACATAGTTTGAGGTTGTGAATTTTATATACATGTAGTAACCATGTTTGTCATTTCTTAACTGGTTTTTCTCTTATTTATGTAATAAAGGTAAATATCTATATTTCATTGTGTACTGCAATAAAAAGTACTATGACTTCCAGGTTTATTACTAATTAAACAAGTGAGCCGTGGACTTAGAAGATGTTTAGTTCCATTTATAAGGAGTATTCGATGTGGCATTTTTCCTGTCTTACACAGAATGGAAAGCGCTCCAACTTCATGTCTGCATGGCTTGAGCATGGTGCCTGACCTGTAGGAGGCACCCTCAGGGTGATGGATGCATGCTGGAGAGTAATGGTCTTTTTTTTTTTTTTTTTTTTCATTTACCAGCTGTAGGTTGGAGGCAACAGCTGGAAATGGCTCTTTCTGGTCAAGATTGTGGGGGAACTTGCACTTGCCTTGCACAGGTCCAGGAGAGATGAGAGGAAGTAACATCTTTGCCCATTTTGTCTGCCTTTGTACAGATGAGACTGACCGTGGGGTTGACCAGCAAGATGGAAAGAACCACACCCAGTCCCCTGGGTGTGAGGAGAGTGATGCTGGTAAAGAAGAGTTGCTAAAGATGAGACTGCCCACTCGCTCAGACATGATATGTGGCTACGCCTGCCTCAAAGGTATGTTTAATTCCAAAAGAGTACAGTCATATCTTGTGTTACTGTGGTTTAGAGATTCAGGTTGAATAACTCTTACCTGAAGTGCTTGGGATCAGAAGTGTTTCAGTTTTGTTTTTTTTTTAATTTTGGAATTTTTTTTTTTTTTTTTTT